TAATGTGACTCTGTTTTTATGAGAAGGAGAAGTGCGAAGTTATCAATGCCAATGCTAGCTAGCTTATATAGCTACATCCACAGACAGCATGGGGCAGATAACTGGGCACATGTTTAGTAGAAGCGTGACCTGCTGGAGGGAAAGGGGTCTAAGCAGCTTTGATCAGATTTGATTGGCTCCAGAGTGGTTAGATTTGGGCTAATGTTTCAGGAACGTAGAATCGAGGGCACATAAGAAACTGGAAGCATGTGACAGTGTGCATTTTGAGCCCTGGATCACTAGAAGCTTCCTCTTTTCAAGAGGTTAAGACTGTGCGTTAGTCTAACGTTGTGCGTTTATGATAGATCGCGAGAACATTATGAAGCATATTAGGCATATAGCTCACCTTCATAATTTACACATTTAATGATAAAGATTATTCAATTATTCAAATGACCTTTTCATAGATAGTTGATTCATAGGTAGTATGCAACACCATCTTAGTGAAATATATCTGTATGTAAAGTTTCACACCATACTAAGTGAGAATTGTTCTTTGCATGCTGGACGGTCTGTTGTCTGTGGTTAGCTGAAGCTAACAGCTCCGCAGTTGTTCAGCATCCTGTTTGTGACATAAAGAAAACACTTCAGCTGCAGGTGTTTCAACACAGGGCTGTTAGTTTAAACTTCTTTAAACATGAAAAACATTTATGTGATAACATTTTAAATTCCATTAATCTCAGTATCCTTGTTTAGGCTCTGAATCTACCTTTTATGAAGGTAATAATTTGTTAGTTGTGTGATATCGTGGCACGTTTATCTGATCTGTGGTCCCTCAGTTCCTTGAGTACATTTTATTTGTCACAGAAGCAGTCACCTTATCAGTGATTCTATCTTCTGCTTAAAATATTTTAAACATTCTAAATCATCTAAATAGTTTGTTTATGTTTAAATAGTATGTGTTTTATTGTGCAGAGAGAGACTCTGCTACAGTCTACTCAGAAACGAGAATTGAAGACGTCAGTTATGGAGAAATCGTCATCAAAGACAAGAAGAAAAAGTCAAAGACCAAAGGTAGAGCTGCTCCTCTTTTTCTCCATCTGGGTTCGTTTCTACATCCAATCACTGAGCTAAATGCTAACATATGAATGCTAACACTTTAATAGTTCATAAAATTTGAACTTCACATGTTCACCATCTTAGCAGCACGCTAATATTTAGTAATTACCAACCATCGTGAACACAAGAAACAAACAACATACTGCTGCATTTAAACAGTGAGCTGATTTGGATCTTTGAGGTTTTAAGCAACAAACAGTTCTTTTTGATAGTACGTACATGTGCCAGTTTCCTGATTGGCTTCCTACAGTCATGTGATGATGAACATTTTCTCAGAACCCTCAGCTGTTTCGTGAAAAACTAAGTATACCTCATTTATTTATCTTCTTTTCTTCATCTTCTTCTTGTCTATATGACTTTCACAGTCTTGTCATTGTGAAGGAATTTTGGCCGACTTTTCTTTGCATCATTGAATCAGGTCTTTGAGGTTTGTGGTCATTTGCGATGCACAGCTCTCTTAATAAGATCACTAACGTTCTCCTAAGCATTCCAATCAGACTGAGGTCTGGGATTTGACTGTTGCAACATCTTAATTCTTTGGACCAAGCTTTGTTTTTTGGGTTCACATTAAACTCTAGAACACTTTGGAATACAGAGAAGTTACTGGTTGGTTCATTTGCTGCAAGGTGCTCCTGTGCTTCAGAACAGGCCCAAATCCTCACACCTCCACCACCATGCTGACGGTTGGTATGTGGCGTCAGTGTTGATGTGCAGTGTTTGGTTTTCCCTCAAATGTTGTCTTGTGCATTATGGACAAACATTTACACTTTGGTCTCATCTGTGGACAAAGTTCCAGAAGTCTTGATTTTTGATTTCTTGGTTTGTTCAGATGCGAAAAATCCCAAAACAAAACATAAAGAGAGAAGACGTTTTCCCCTGGGAAGTCTTTTTTTATTTGAATTGTTTTAATTTTACCATAATGAACTTTAACATTTAGCATGTAAAACCTGTAGAGTCTGAGGTGTAGCTGTTGGATGTTTTGCAATTTGCTGGGATGTTGACTCCTGGGAAAACTGCAGTAAACACTTGCTGATGATCAGTTAATTAAGTGCATTTGATTAGTGCTTGGCTGCTTACCTTAGAAATTCCTGTGGACACAATGAGGTTGGACTTAAACTTGTTATGTGACTGTAAATCCAAACAGTGGCTCGATTATTTACAGGAGCTTTATGAGGGAGGAATAAATCAGCAGCAGTTATATCCTGCAGTTCACATACGTTAAGCTCTGTCACTGTAAGACTAAATGAGGACTTTGTGTGAAGAAAGAATAAAAAATAAACATGTAACTTTTATTACCCTGCAAAATCTTGTCTGTCAATATTACCTGACATAACCAGACCACAGACTCACCTTCATGACACTAAAACAAATCTGGCATTAAGCTCAGCTCACTGTGGCAGTCTCTCTTCACAGTTACACACAACAGCCGCTTTAACTTGTGGCGTCAGCCCCCAAACAGTCGCTGTAAGTTGTAATTTTGCTGTCAAACAATCCTAAACAGCTGCCGCTGGTCATGTCATTACCCCAAAAAAGGCACATCAGATTGGGCAGGTAGTAACATCGGAGGATGTCAGCAGGGTTGATGCTACGATTTGAGCTAATTGTCTCTCCTACAGCTACGAGCTGTGATCTGGATACAAGATGCAGAGCTGCCCGTGCTCGCTCTTAGACATAGGGCGAGGAGCTCAGTTATTCAGTGGGGGTTCAGTGCTCCTACTGGTTCAAGCATCTGAAAAGGACGTCCCTCGGCTGGGTTGTGAACATCACGGTGTCCCACTCAGAGGAGCTGGAGCATGTAGCGTCTCTGCTTAAGCAACTGAAATTGTATGGATACATTTTTAGTCTATAAATGTCATACTTTTACTTTTTTAATGTTTTTTTTTATTAATTCCTGTTAACAATAACCTTAGAGAAAGGCCAAAGATAACAATATATTATTGGTTCTTTCAACACTTCCTGACAGCACAACTGTCTGTGGTGGCTCATTGGTTCCAACCGAATACATAAAATGTTAAAACACTAAAAATCTAACCTTCAAACTTCCTCTGTGTTGCTTCACTCAGAGAAACAGGAAACGCTGCACTTGTTGTCGATTTTCTTTAGCAACAGATTAATCCACACTTCTGCGGGATGGTGTGTGTAAGCATGTTGTTATGATGATGAACAGACAGGTCATCCAGCTCAATAGTTCTGCTTTCTGATGTGATTTTAGCACAAATATGGCACATCTGCCGTTTTCTTTGAGCGACATGTGTCTCTCAGCGTCTGCCTCAGCTCAGCCACAGGCGCCCCGTGAATTTACCAGATGCCTTTTGTGCAGTAACATTTGGGCCACTTCTCTACCACAGAACATCGGTCATGCTGTAATTGAGCAATACATGCCAAAAGCAGCCCACATTAGGCCCAGATGTGCCTTGGTACACACACAAGATAGAGAAGCAACATCTTGTGGTTGAAACCGGTTAGTCTGAAGCAGGTGAGATTTCTATCTGCTATGTGCTCTGGCTTGGATAGTAATAGTGTTCATGTTGTGAGAACGTAGCTTGTGGTGAAGTGTGTCATTTAGCATTGTAGAAGCAGCAGCTTGGTGGATGTCACCTTTCTTTTTCACACAAAACATCTCACAGGTCTATCCAGTCATTCATTGGCTCAGAGCAGAGAGGTGTTAAGAGCTGTGAGGTGCTGCTGCAGTGTATGAAGTACACGTACTTTCTACATGATGCAACATTACAAATACAATTTTGACATATTTTTCGTGACCTAACAGTTATTCCCAGTAATCATATCAAAAGCAGTTCTGGAATCAGTTTTGGAAAAAACTAAGCAGGTTGGATCAACGAGGTCCAGAGATAAAGCTCCTCGTTATGTTTAACCTTGAACAGAGCAGATTTACGTCCTCTTGCAGTCACTATTATGAGTGACATTATGACTCACTTTCGGGCTTTGGTCAGAATTGTAACTGATATCAAACTTCTCATCTTTATCCGAAAGCAACCTTTTAATAAAGACATGTGAGCAGCATATGAGGTCAGTTATAGATGACCAACAAACCTTTCTCTTGTTGGTCAACACCATAATCCACCACCAAACTGGACCATCTCTACCCCCAACTGTCACTCAGCAACAGATCCCCACAGCGCTGCCTTCTCTACACCCTGTACGACTATGACTGTACACCAACTCACTCAACCAACATCACTGTCAACTATGATGAAGATAAAACCGCACACAGGAGGTAGTGAACATCTCCTGGTGGTTCTCATAAATTAAGTGTCTGTGAAGGTTCTCAGTCATCCAGGTCATCGTAGTCAAAGGAGCTTGCAAAGAAAAGCGTCTGGACTTCTTTAAGTTACTTGAAGA